TTACCATTTCTTTTAACTATTATGCTTTCTCTTTCAACAAAATCATTCATATATATTTACCATGTTAATCAAACTTAGACACTTTTATTTTTTTTTTGTTTTTCTTTTGTTGAATTGATTTTCGACTTTTAATGAATTTTCCTTTTCATAATTGAGATAAATATAGTCATATCTTAAAAAGTCGTTATGAACATTATAAAATATTGTTAATTATCCTATGCAACCAAAGTAAATGGTCCACAAATATTTCTACGTAAAAGGTATAAAACATCGAAAGTCCTGTTAACCTCAAATAACTTTCTCTTAATTTGTTTACCCTTTGTGCAATTGATACAAATATCATAATCTGTAAAATCTAAAGGGTTTAGAATTTCATCTACAAGTATTTCTATTCAATTTCTGAAGATACGACATAATTGTGTGTGCCAAATGCAACTAAATTTTCATTGGTTAATTTCTTTTCTCTGTCTTGAGTACTTAATTGTAAAGATTCATTGAATGAAACGGTGCAACCAAAGTCACAGTAGGACGACAAAAATATAAATAAAAAAAATACAGTTATCACCAATACTTATTTAATAAAAACATTAACGAAAACCTTTGAAAATAAATAAAGAAATAAGTAAAGAACATGGTTTTCAAAATAATTTCTAAATTGGAAAATCGATTACAGGTAGGAAATGTATTAATATCTTGCTACATTTACCCTAAGATGATTAAAGTGTGAAAAATCTAAATATATTAAAATTATTTATTTTATTTTTTAAAATCAATTAAAAAATAATACCTTATTAACAAATAAATATTATTATTAAAATAATAGATAATATTATTTTTAATATTTTTGACTTGATAGATATTACCTTCACTCTTATAGTGTTTTGAAATTTTATAATTGTATAATAATTAAATTAGGGATACATCTAGATAATTATAATTAATTTTTTATAATTTAAGTAATAATTAAATTAGAAATACATCCAAAATTATTAGTAATAAAATATAATGTCTTAAAATTTTAATTATTTGTATTTTTATTCTAATAATTCAAATATTTTAAATGGGACAATAAATATTGTCTTTGATCGTTATACTTTTAAAATTGATCAATTAAGTTCTCTAACTTTTGACAAATTTTAGTTTTTTATACTTAAATTTAAAATTTAATTATGATTTGTTACTTTAACATACATGATAAAAGATTAAATATAATTTTAATCACGATTTATACTTAAATTTGATATTTAATAATATTTTGTCTGTTATAAAATTGATAACATGAATATATATATATATATATATATATATATATATATATATATAACTTTAAGGACTTGTTAATTTTTAAAATATAATGAAAACATTTTTTATCAAAATACAAAAAAAAAACATATTTTACCTATTTCAAAATAAATATTTTAGCATAATCAAATTAAAGATGTATTTGAAGTAATTATTACATTTTTATAATTTAAAAAAATCAAATTAGAGACACATCTAAAATAGTTAACTTTTTCCATGATAATTAATTAAAATATGTTGTTACTGTTATTATTAATATTATGTCAATTAATATTAATAAAAAATATTTCATTAAATAGAAATGTTTATGTCCATTAGGCTCTCAAGGGAAATGTAGATTAGAAAGTGACTAGTACAAGAAATTAGTGAAAAGAAAATATTTCCCTTGTTTGATAGTTAGAAAAGTAAAAAATAAAATAAAATTGTCACTTTCTACTGTTATATATACATGTTTACTTTTCACTTATATATGAAAAGAATAAAAATTGGAAAAAAACAATTTGTTATTTTATAAAATTATCCTCAATTAAATATATTATTATTCATTTTTATGTCAATAATTTTAATCAAATTATATATATATATATATAAAAGTAATTATAAAAATCAAATGAATAATTTAATATATTTTTTATTTGTTTGTAATATGATATTATTTTATCAATTTAATTTGAAATAATTTTATAATAAAAAATATTTTATAATTATATATAAAATATATATATATATATATATATATATATAATTGAAAAAATATATTCGGGCTATAAGAATATTCGGGCTCACTTTAATTAGTACTAGTACATATGCTCTATGTGACATATGTTTTTTATTATTATAATAATAATATTGTGCAAGAAAATTTTGTAACGAAGTTTTCCTCATGCACGATACAATTCTTCTTATATATGTGCATATTGAAATGGGGGAGGAGACAGAATCAAAATTTTCCTCTCATCCTTCTTCTTCTTTTGTCTAAAGCAACGAGACTCTCTATTCGTGCAGGATCTGGTGAAACGGGAGAGAGCTTGAATTAAGTGGAAAAGCATCGGTAGAAATACCACACTAGGTAAGGGGAAGTTTAATTCATTCAATAATATATGAAATTAAATTGTTGGGTACTCTGTGAATAAGGAATAGGAGTAGAGATATGAATTATTTGAATGTCTGATTTTGAAGAATTTTTTATTCTAATGAACTGTTCACCGTTTGAAAGTTTTTGAAATTCTTAAAATTAAGGATGAATTATATGGTAAAATTGTTATTTTCAACTTAAATTAGATATAATTCATGTTTAATTTGAATTTGGGACTAGTTTGATTGTCTAAAACTGAGTAATTTGAAATCTACCAAAATCTGCAAAATTTGATGCTAATACTGGCGTTAGGAAGAAGAAAGGGACATGGAAGAAATTTTTGAAAATGTTCAAAGGTAAAATAGTCATTTTACATCCTAGGGACATAAATGAAATTTTTGAAAATGTCCAAGGGCAAAATAGTCATTTTCGGGACATGGAAGAAATTTTCGAAAATGTCTAAGGGTAAATAGTCATTTAGGGACATACATGAAATTTTCAGAAAAGATTAAGGGCAAAATAGTAATTTAATTATTTCGAAAAAGATTTCGGAAAAGATTTTGGAAATGATTTCAGAAATGATTTCGGAAATAATTTCGAAAAAAAAAAGAATATATATATTTAAAATATAGAATGAAAGTAGTAGTTTTAAAGATTCAGTAGTGTGTTGTGACGTGTGTGGGTCAGACTGAGTCTAAGGGCTGATGCCCATAATCAGTCATGAGATGTTATTTATTGGCTAGACTGAGCTGAGGGGTTGATGCCCAGAATCAGTCAAGTACTGTTATTTATTAACTTGGATGAGCCGTGAGAACAGGTGGTCCAGAATCCGGCAAATGTGAATAATTTTTGTTGTGTTTGAATGGTACCCGGGGGTGGTACATTAGTGTAATAACTATGTCGGAGGATTCTGAATAAGGTCTCAGACTTCACTGATTGGTCGGGTCAGGTAGACTACAAGATCAGGTGGTGAGAAGTCGATGGGGGATGACGGGTGGCGTGCTCGGAGGGGTACTCCAGTATGTGTGATGAAGGGCGCTAGTAATCCTACTCTGTGTGGAGGGTGATCAAAATGGTATTACGGGTGCCGATCACAATGTGCCCACAGATGATAATCTTTGAGTTCGGGCATAGTTAGGGTATACTTCCGAAAGGTGTCTTAGTGTGTTGATGATTTTGTAATTGATCATAATATATAATTATTACTTATATATCTGTTTTATTATATCGAATGATTTAATACTTACCCCTATTTTTCCATGTGGATGGGATTGCGATGATCACTTTTATGTGGGAACAGATAGGAGTTGAGAGATGGAGATGTGACTACTAAACAGCGAGAGATAGTTCAGTGTGATAGCTTCGAGGGAGCTACTTTTACATGTATAATATATAAATAAATTATGTTACTATATTTTGAGGTTCAGTTAGTGAATCGGAATTTCAATTTATGTTACAATTGTTACAATTATATTAATATAATGTAAGATAGATATCGTTATTTACTTGTTTATTATTTTGCGTAACGATTTCTAGGGTTGTTATACTTTACATTAAGTTAAACTTTTTATAATAATAATAATAATAATAATAATAATAATAATAATAATAATAATAATAATAATAAAGAACTTGAAAATCAAGCTAATTTAAGATTTTTGCGTGTCATATAAAAGCTTTCTCCTTTAAATACATGATACATGGGTATATTATTCAATGTTTTTCGATATCAGTTTGTTAAGCACACCCTCAAATGCAATACATATACGTAGCATATACATTTTATTTATGTTGGAAATAAACAGTAATATGTTTAGTTTATTTTTCAAATATAAATAAATAATTCAAAAGAAAAATGTGTATCTTACGTACTCAAGATTCAGAGTCTGATTATTATTATTTTTTATTTTTTAAAAATATCTTATTAAAGGATTTATAAAAAAAAAAGATACAAGTAAAAAAGAAAAATAAAATAATAAGTTAAAACAGCTTAACGATATTTTGAATGCTATTATTATATAAAACAATTTCCAAAAACTAATTTTTGAAGATAAAGAATGAAGAAAAAGATGAAAATGTATACTAAAAATTAAACAAATTGAGATGTTTTGAATTTATTTAATTTAAAAATCTGATAAAGGGATATTGTTGTTTTTGAAACTTTTTATTTTTTCAAAAACTAAAAAAAGAGATAGTTTTGAAAACAATATTTAAAAACATGAAAATAAAGGGACCAGTTTTCCCATAATGGCATGTCAAATATAAATAAAATAGCAATGGCACACATCATCAAGGAGACAAGAATAAACAATTTTGCTTCATGTAAAATTGTCTCTGCATACTTTCTCTGCATATACACCATACACCTATCACCATAGCAGGGACTACTATACTTAAACTATAAACACCAAAATATACCATGAACCCTTTCATACAAATGTATTAAAATATAAAGTGCTGTTTTGTCTTGTCACAAGCTACCTTATCTTACATGTTTCACTAAGATAACAAAATTTATATCTTTAGTCACCTTCACAAAACTAACTCCCAAGCAGTTTCATTAGAGTCATTGCAGTCTCAGTCTAAGGTCTTTGACACTTAGCCTTTGTTTGGCATTTTTTTTTTACCATGCAGCAGGTGTAGGAGGCATCTCCTTAGGGACATACACCAAATTCCCCTTACGTCCTCCTCCACCTCTATAGTTTCTTCTTCCCCTATACACATTCTCATTACTGTTACCATTATATGTAGGAGGAGTCTTGCACCATGCATTGTTTTCTCTCCTTCTGTTATGGCCATCCCATGTTCCCCAATTGCCATACCCACCACCATTTCTTCCTCTTCCCATTTTGTTCATGTCACCACCACCATAGTGCTCCCTATGATTCCACCCCCAAGAATCATTCCTCCAACCTTGCCATTCAAGTTCTTTTGCAGGTTCAGCAGGAGCCAGCAGTTGTTGCCCAGATTCTACTCCATTGTTTTCATGCAGCCTTGTCCCCCAGTCTGTGGGAGCAGTAGTTGGACCCAAAGACTTTGGCTGATCCTCTTCATCATCCCCCCATCCAGTACATGGAAGCATCTGATCATTCAAGTAGAGGGCACCACCAATAATCACAACATCTTGATCATTTTTTATTCCATTAACAGGGGTCCTTAATGCTTCTCTTTCCAACTCCAGCATAAGTTCAGGGTCAACAATTGCGTTCCAATCTACATCATCGATGTAAATGTCGGGATCAGGCAACGAAATGTTGCAGTGAATGCCGTTGATGTCAGCCCAATACCTCATCTTTGCATTCTCAAATGCCTCCTTGCCAGCAGAGTCATCCCAGTTCGCCACATTATCAAACAGATGCATATAATGCTTGGTTTTTACTATTTTTCCCCAGGGAACTGAGCCAATTGAAGAACAAAATTTCCTTTCCCAGGCAGGCACGCTTGGATGGTAATTGTCTGTGAACCAAGACGAATAAGCATATCAGTTGACAATAAAAGGAAGCTCCTACCATCAAGGCCAAATTACATAACAATTGCAATCTAAACAGAATAAAAGACACAAGGAAAGCCAAGAAATAATGTGTAAAATCTCAAGCAAAAGACCCTGGGTTAACTCTGCATTCTGTTTAGGTGTGACACCAATACATTCTCAAGAAAAAGAAAAAAGAAGAAATATTGCATTACCATGCTGATGCTCCTAGCACACATGAAAAAGGAATGAAAAACTTGCGAAGGAATAAATAATTCCAAATTATATCTAGAGAAAGCATTACTCTGTATGTTTGTTTAATTCACATGCGTCATCATGAAATATTCAATTGATAACTAGCATCAATTGCAAAAATCAACAGCTTCAGTTCTAAATTTGAGAAAAACCGACATTTTTACGGGGAATAACGAACAAAGGATCAATAGCCAGATTTCCTTTTCAATAATTGCATTATGTAGGCATTTTAAACAATTAAACATATCTCCAAAAGATTTCATTAGTATATGCCTCAACAGTTTCAGTTTAGAACACGACACACCAAGTTATTAAAAGAAGATCTTGGATAAACTAAACAGGGGATTCAGTTATATTTGCATTACTTGGTTTCAATTAAATAAGTGTGTTAAAAATTTCCAAAATCATGACATTTTCAGTTCAGAACATGACAGAAATCAGAATTGCTACATGTGTAAAAGAGAATCATAGGAATTAGTTTACCCTAGGTTTCAACAATCTGATAATGTGAGGTTTTATCACAGCAGTTTGGGTTCAAAGCACACAAACAAAAATTATTACATAAGAACTTCCTTGGATCCACTACTAAAGGATACCTAGGTATGCATGTTAAACCACTCTATTTCAATAATTCAATGTCATTGGAACCTATCAATCTGCTTAACATGCAAAGCATCAACAGCAACAAGCTACAACCCAACAACCTACCAACCAAAGAAATGACAGCACTTTATAACCCTAGAGGCCCTCCCTTTGATTATTGAAACTCTTAGCAACTTTCATTGACAAGGATATGAAACCTAAACCCTCCATCATAACCCTTACCCCGCCCTTTTACACACAATACAAACCCAACCTTGAATAACCAACCTATAAGCCTTCGATCACAAAAGAGGCACAGCACACAATCAAACCACTGCTCACTCAATTATGAAAATTAAATACAAGTTTCAAAATAAATTAAAAAACAAACAAACTCCAATACATATCTCTGTCTAACTAAAGCTAGTTCTTAGAAACACATGACTAGCAAAAAATTAGAACTCCATCACACGGCAAAGCAATGCTAAAGAGCCATAATTGCTCAAAACCAACCATTGTGAAAAACAAGGGAACCCCACTTTCTCAAATTAAAACCCCAATTAAAACCACTAAAAAGCAGCATCATCATAAAAACGTGCAACAATTCCACCGCAACCCAATTTTCAAAAACGGTTAGAAAGCAAATAAACAGAAAAAAAAAAAAAACCCACCAAAAGAGTAATTCATGCAACAAGAATTAAACGGGGGTTCAGAACCCAAACCAAGAAAAGGAAAAGAATACTAACCCAAAGGAGGCTTTCTGCTGTTGGAAGAGGATCGCCAGTGACCCACTTGATGATGACTCTCACCTTGTTGTTTTCTCCAATTAGCCATTCCCAGAGCCAAAAGAGAAGAACCCAGAAAAGGAAATTAGAAAGCTTCGGTCGCAAGCAGCGCAGAGGCACAATATAAGAGAAAATTTGCAAACTTTGGCAAAAGGGAGAAGCAGGCACGGATTTCACGAATTACCTCAGCAGAGAGAGAGAGGACAAAAAAAAAAGATTTATGTTATGTCTATCTATATGAGTGTGCGTATGGAGTACCACCACATCACACGAAAGAAACAAAGAAAAGGGTGATTAGTAGATGGTTGAGGAAAAGGTGGAAGAAGAAGAAGAACATGAAATTAAAGATGTTTGTAGAAGGAGCATGAAGATGAATACACGAATGAATCAATGAATGAATGTGTGTGTAATTGTGAATGGACCCCAGACAGAGGAAACGCTCTGAGGTTTCTTGTCACGCCTTCGAAGCGTTCCCCTTGAAGTGAGACCCTATCATATTCGCTTCGCTATTTATAGCACATGGTTTTCTTTGTCCTTTCCTTTGTTTCGGTTTCATGAATCATCATCTTTCTTATTTTATTTCTTTATTGTTACTTTTATCTTTTTACATTATCACTTTCCCTCTAATATTAATAATTACTGCTAATTACATCATTATCTCCTTAATTTTCACGTAATTTAAAATCATTATTTTATTTTTATTCTAATCCTGTTAATTCATAGTTTATTATTCTTAAAATTATTTTTCATTAACATTTTCTATTTAATATTTTAACCCCAAATCAAATTTACTGCACATTTATCCTTTGAACATTTAAAACTAATCATAAGTTTTCTTCACATCTAAAATTATTAAAGATGTATTTCAACATTTTAATACATAATACACTATCATGTAAATAAAAATTTTATTCAAATTTATATGTAAAATTACCTATAAATTTCTACAATAAATTAACCAAAACATAAAAATGAGAAATGAAAACAAATTACAAAACGTGAGTATTTGATAATATAAAAAGTTAATGAACGGACACAAAGAAGCGGCGCATTTCATAAATATGAGATATTTTTGTAGCATAAAATAAAAGAAAAGATACATGCATAATTACAATAAAGTCAGGAAATGCTGTCGTAATTAGTTCTAATAATTAATAAATTATTAAATATGTTGTAACTATTTTTTTCTCTCTCCACGTTTTGTTTTTCACTCCCTCTCAAAATTAAAATAACAAATCCCGACAAAATCTCAACATGATAAAATTTTAATATTGTTTTGTTAATTACATCTAATCTTCATTATTTAATATACAAATGCATATAAATATACAGGGTCTATTGTGCTTAAAATAAAATATTGAAAAATATTTATTTCAAATGATTTTACATAAATTTCTGTTTTTTATAATAAAAAATTCTTCTACTACATTTTTTTTAACAACTCGAAATTGTTTCTAAAAAAAGATAAAACTGCCTTATTTTTCTAATATGTTTACCTAAACATATTACAAAATTTGATAAATAATTACTTTATTTAAAAAAAATTCTAAAAAATTAAATAAATAGAGGCATTATCTTCATAAGAGCTGTCTCATTATTTTAAGATACGTTCCCATGAAATCATTTTGAAGGTTTTTTTTTTTTTTTTTTTTTTTAACTTTATCTAACCGTTTTACATTTTAAGATTTTCAAAATAAGATATTATATGATATAACTAATTTGCCACCCTCGTAAGTTTATTTGTAATAAATATTGTTATTTTAATTCAAAGCAAATTTGTCTTTCTTTTTATTTTATTTTTTGGTGTTCCTAAAATGTTTTCTACAGTTAGTGATCTTATCTCAAATATATACATACATTAAATTCAGAGATATCACCTACTTTAGTCATAGTTTTCTTTCAGCTCATTTGCACGAATAACACAGAGTGATGGTCAGAATGCAGAAAAATAAGTAAAAAATAATAATTTCTCTTCTTTGATGACAAGATAAATGAAAAAAAAAACTTTTTTGATGTAACCGATATATTTACATCTTTTTTCGTAAATGAGTGAAAAGAGTTAAAAAATTCTAACAAACTAAAAAAAATTGTAGATAATTTTACAATTATATAAATATTAAATTCTAAATAAATAATAATTTTATTATTTTATATGTATATTATTTATTCTTTTTTTTTTTTTTTTTTACCGAACGGAGTCTTATTTTCATGGTTAATTTTTATTTTATTTTCTCGTATGTATCTTACACATTAGTTAATTATTGTAAAGTGAGAGATGATTATTTTTTATTAAATTTTAACAAAATTAATATAATATATATATATATATTACAATTTTATATTATATTTTTTTATTTTTCTTTATATAGAGAGAGTTATTGAAAATATATTAATTAAATGATTGATATAAATAGTAAGAGACATAAAAAATAAAAAAAAACTGGGTCTTAACAAATAATTAAGACTCCTATATCAGAAAATATATGTTAAAATTGATTGATAAGTTCCTCTAAAAGTGATTTAATTATTAATTATATTTGTATTTTAGTTAGATATAGAAAGATGTTTGATATTTTGGTATTTTCGTTTATTTAAGTTACATATTTTTAGTTTTATAATATACAAAATATAAACAGATGTTTGATATTTTGGTATTTTCGTTTATTTAAGTTAGATATTTTTAGTTTTATAAAATACAAAATATAAACAGAAAAGAAAGAACAAATATAATATAAAATATTATTATATCAAAATAATATGCAAAACACCAAATTAATATATTATATTTATTATATATTATAAAAATTTGAATTAGTTTTGAAGAGTAATAATAAGTATGAGTTTGTCTGTCATGCTTAACAGACTATTACAATATTATTTAGTCTTAATTTATATTTATTGATTTGATTTTCAACTATAATATTATCAAAAAATTTTATAAAATTTTTTATTATTTTTGTATTATATTTATTTATTAATAAAGAAAATAAATATTAAAATAAAAAAATATAGGTACATGAGTTAAAAAATATAAAATGATTTAATAAGATGGTTTTAAAACATCATACGTAAAAATGAGATTAAGAACCCTTAATAAGCAAATATAATTTAAAAAATTAGAGATAAATTAAATAATATAAATATAAATTAATAAAAATAATTATTAAAAATAAATTAAATAATATAAATATAATTTAATAAAAAATCAATAATAAAAATAAATTAAACAATATAAATAAATAAAAAGAATCAATTCCTAATTAAAAATAAATTAAGGAATGTCAATATAAATAAATAAATAAAGATTAAAAAACTTGAATGAACAACAATAATTAAATAAATATATTAATAAATGTACATAATATTCTAAAATACGACTTTTATTGCTTTATATATATATATATATATATATATATATATTATTTTTCTCATTTTCTCCTTCTTCTTGTTTTTTCTCTTTTAAAATTTTCATACCATGTTACCTATATAATATTTTTTTATTATTACTTCAATTAAATGCTTGTAATAGTTACAAGCTTGATTTTTTTTAAATATGTTTATCTCTTATAGTATAAGATAAGTTAACCTTATTTTTTTAATAATGATTTTTTTTATAATTTTTTAAACAAAATTTCTCTATAAAAATAAATAAATAGGTCTTTTATTATTTTTAGAAAATAAAAATATTATAATTTAATGTATTATATTTAGAAAATATTATATGATGAATTTTAAGATATTATGATTGAATCATATCTTTAAGGTGAGTAAAGAAATTCTTGAAAAAAAAAATATTGATATTATAAATATAAATATAGTTTATTACATTTTATTTGCTTGGTAAAAAATAAAAAATAAATACACATGCTTTTTAAACATTATCTACTAAATCAATCTTAATCTTGGTTATCAATACATTCACTTTAGTACTTAATTGATATTAAAAGTTTATAGCTTTGAAAAACTATTTTTATTGTGATATAATGATGAGAAACCCTTTTTCATATAAGGGTGATAAAATCTCACATGGACTAAAAATACAAAATATTATATAATATTATAGTATATAAGTAAGTACAATACTTATAATAAAGAACTGATTTTGTATTATTTAATTAAGTATCTTACCATTTTTAATATATAAAATAAATGACATTTTGTTTATGTTATCCTCAAATTTTAGTTTGCCTATTAAAGATGTATTTATTGTTATCATCCTTAACATTATTTTGGTTATATGGAAAATGAGAAATGATATCTAAGAGAGTTGTGAATAATATAAATGACCTACTTATTCTAAATCACTTTGGTATAAAAAATTATACTCCTAATAGGATTACTTAGCTAGTTTGGAAACTTCCTAATACTAATATGCTTAATGTAACATTGGTTGATTTCCCACTTTACTTACTAGCATTAGTCTTAAATTTTTTTGTAATCAATATAATCTTCTTGAGTGTAAGTTCTCCTAAACTTGTTCTTAGTTGTATATGAATGTTGGTAATGAATTTTGGTTTGGTCTTCCCATTCTTATTTGTATTTTTGTTTATTTATTCTTTATGTTGGTTTGCATGTGATTGATGAGGTATGACGTGCTAACCTAATTAGTATGACATTTAAGATTTAGCTAGTATCATTGTTTCTGGTACAAATTAATTTGTTGTTCGATTTCACTCTTTTCAAAATGAATTAATATTTCGAGATGAACCAGTTTATCATCATGTGGGTTCTTTTAGTTTAGACTAGCAATTACACACATTTCAATTTAGAGAAATTTTTAATCACAATCAGTTAGTTATTGATTACAAACATTAATCATTTAATAATTAATACAATGTTAACTTCTATTAGTGACCTTTCATATATTAATTGGATTTTCTATATAATTTCAAATATTCAAAGTAAAGTCCAAGAAAGATATGTGAAGAAAGTAAATTGTAGGAAAGTAAGTGTATGATGAAGATAAATTACAAGAAAAATGAATTTAACTCATTACCAAGGATAAAACATAAATTGATAAAGAAACTCAATGAGAGTTGTGACCAAAAT